ATGGGAGCATGTCAAGAGATGCCAGTGGCCAAAACAGGACCCTCCTATTCTGATTAATGAATACAAGAAAAATTGGTCCTTGTTTGTCCAAATTTACGCAGATTGGCTCAGGGGTCCCAGACTATGAATGCAATTGGGGATTTCCCAAAATTGGGGCCATATTGGGGTGACCCCTGATTATGGAAAGTACCACTTGGTTGGTGATGGCAAAACACCGTGTGCCTCTCGGATCGTCACAGCTAAAGTTCGTCGACTTCTGTGTGGAAGAGCAACCCATTCGGATCCATCTCCGTCCCAACTGACCTTTGCAGTGGCAATAGACACTGGCTATCGCCCCCACCCTGTAACAGTCTATATTTGATTCATATTAAAGGGCTATATATGATCCCTTGCTCCTCATGTTCAACCTCCCTAATATAAATTATGGGTTCCCCAGAATTCCAAAATCTGAAATCTTCCCCCCAGACTACTTTTCAGACTACTTTGCAAAGGGCCAAGACTACAGTTAATTACGTTTCAGATCCTCTGGTTTGGGGGGATCCCTAGCACGACTCTTAAGGATTAGTGATCTCCTTCATTTCCTAGAATTTGATGATCTTTTAAAGAGAAATTTATATAACATCTGAATGCGATGCGTTGCTAATTGGATTTGTTGTGGTTTTATTCGCTTTTACTTGAAATCTAACTAGATTAACTAGAGTTCAATCGATCTTACCCAGATTCTCACGATTTCGATTAGATCTATATAGGTTTCAATTGGTTTGATTAGGCTTCTGGATTGAATTAAAATGGACTACAATTAGCTTTCAATGGCCTTGCTATTTCGATTTTACATGATTTTATTGCCATTTTACTTGGATTAAATCAGTTGCTTGTTCGATTTAACCGATTTTTATTCAACTGTACTTAGATTTCAGTACTATATCCCCCGCCTTATATTCCGCCTCCACGAAAAATACCACCCAAAAAAAATCAATACGGGTCGGAGTGTCTGTAGTGGGAAGGGGAGGACGACGTTCAAAATCAGCAGGAAAGGATTAATAACTCTAGTATAAATATTATCCAACTGTTCCAGAGTGGGGCAGTACCCAAGCTAGACACAAGCCTTTACGGGGGCTTGCCAATTGGGTCTGGGGGCCTCTTACGCAGGAAAATATCTTCGGCAGATGAGTACTCATGATGTACCGTTGAATTACTTGTTTTTGGACAATACGTGGACAAGTAGGGGCAAAAAGCGCTGTGCGAAATGCTTGGTTTTGGGTCTAGAGGTTTTGGCCTCAAAGAATGTCCGACGCGGCTTGGTAAATCCTAGTATACAAGTATGGGCATTCCTGTTCTGCGGGCACGATAAAGAAACAACCATGCCACGTGTATCTTAACGACACAAAGATGACAGAATTGGCTTTGCTCAACCTCTTTGCGTTCCAAAAGAAGAGGAATGTTCACACCCTCACTCAAGGAAACGTGGAAGCCGGCAGGAGCTCCTGAAAGAGCAAAACAATCCTTACATTGCCTGGGTTGCAGTTCCACGTCTGCTTGTGGAGGCATATATACGAGATTGTACGAGCATAGAATGAGCTAACATAAGCCTACCATCGGTTAATGCGGCTTGAGGTTGAGGGATGAGAGTTTTGATGTTCCGCCAGGCCCAGATATCCGAACATGCACTGCTTTTACTTACGGGGCATTTCAATGAAAGTCTACTGCCCTTACTCATACGTGGGGCGACTTTTTCATATTCCAGTGGCCAAAATCACGTATCTCAAGGCCAAGAATTCATTGAAAGTGCTTCTTCTTCTTCCAAAACCACCACCACCACCGCCGCCGCCACGACCACCACCAC